TCCCTCCATTCTTGCGGGGGGGGGGGCGAATCTGATGGATTTTAAAAAATATCGGGCAAAGGATAACATAATTGACACATCAAAAGCTATTGTGGGAACTATCGAACCATTTCGCCCTTTTAACGCCAACATGGAACATGGAAAAGCAACCAGTGGGTAAAGTGAATACCATCTTCTCAGAACCAGTGAAACTAACTTAAAAAAATGCCACCGACTTGTCGTTCCGAGAACAATACAAGGAAATATCTTACTCTCAGTGGTGCAGAGGTCAAATGACGATGAAGCAAAATAGAAACATTTATCTACTCAGAAGGTAGAGGCGTTGTGACATGATTCAACGATGTTCTCATCAGTGATAGTAAAGAACGGTGACAACAATCCTACTGCGAGTGTCCTTTCACTTCATATATTAGCTTTAAAAGATCTCTCAATCCAAGGTTACCTCAGTCTCATTAGAAGAGTCGTTTCGCAGCTGGCCACTGTCATGTTTCGTGATCCACCTTAGCAGTTAAAAAAAATACATTTAGCCGCATTCGTTGTGAAACGTGACCCACACTTTCTTTACTGATATCTTTAATGAATATCGACTTGAACCAGACTTCAGTGATGTGATGTTTCACGACATGTCAGTGAAAAGGGACAATCAGCAATTAAAATATAATTTGGACATGCAATCACATGACTGGAATACAGAAGACAAAAAATCGTGTAGGTATGAAAATAATGCAAAATAAGATTTCAAAGTTTTCGCAGTTTCAAAGTATGATTCATGGAAAAGATTGTTAGACAAGGTCGAAAGGCGATCCGTACTTTATTACTGCACTGTTGTGTTAAAGGCATATCTGTACTAACAGGTAATTGGTACAGTTAACAATAGATAAGGTTACATCCTTCATTAATAGCCACATCTCACAACTTAACCACGCCACAGGTCTATTTTCGTGCATAAATATCGTGGCATATCTGCAGGTGTCCAAACAGGCTTTTATTCGACCCTGCCTAGTGATGCGGTTCTGCATCCATGCACTGCAGGTGCTCAAATACCATGGAGTCGTGGCCTGCTAAAATGGTACCCTAGCGAGTACAAACAAGGGACGGTGCAATTACGCCGATTCAACCCGGTATCAAAAGATAAAGGGTTACAACCATACCTCATCTAATAGTTTTCAGATTCAAAGATAGAATTTATATAATTTCATTGTATTTACTTCTTTACAATCAGCTGACGAGATAGATACAACATGGAAATCCGGAATTTGAAAATTCTCCTTCAGGAATAAAAAGAATCGTTAGAAAGAACGAAGAACGCCTAAACGAGAGTTTCGTCTAATGAGAACTGAATTCAAACGTGGTATATATTTATGAAACAGAGAAAGAAATATCTGGAACGAAAGGAAAAGCGAAAAAGTGTGAACGTACTTGAAACATGTCAGTCTTTTCATCTTTCGCATACTCAACGATGACTGTTTCCTTTCGGCTCAGAGTGTACGTGACTGAATGCTGAGATCGGTTGCGGACTGCTGGCAAGTTCTTGCTGTCCTTCACTGTGTACTGACGGGACTTGGTGATACCGTTTGGATGAGCCCGTCTGAAAAGCTCGAAACGACTTCGACAGCCATTCACGTGATCGGTGCCGTCGATATTGTTATACCTGAAAAAAAAACATCAGAAGCGAAAACAAAAATGCACTTAAACGATGGATTCCATGAAAATAAAAAAGAAACAAAAAACGGTGTCTGCATTAAGATCATGATTCTAACATCGCATAGCAACAAGCCATACCAACGGCCAATTTCCATATCGATTTCTGGCATAATATTTATATTTATTCCAATATATTTCTAAATTTAGATGTGTCGGATGAATGCTGGATGAGAGAAATCAGCAGAAGATCGTATGTTTTAATACATGTCGATGCAACTCACTTTGAACGATTACAATTAGGGCAAAAAAAGGAACATAAAAAAGAAAACGTGCGATGGTCGACACAATAAGAAGTATGATCAATTTCAATAAGTTTACAACATCAGAGCATCAATGAATTCCTTGACATCTTAGAGAACGTACTGTCGAACGCGTATGATGAAAAATATGTCAAGGTATTTGTACGCTGAACAGTGAAACAGCTGCCTAAGTGGGTATCCATTAGGTACTAAACTGACGTACTAGGCGACATTAAAATTGCCTTTCGACACTGTTTTAGTCACTCTAAAAAAATGAAGAAAT